AGGCAAGACAGGAATGCAGGAAAGGCAAAAGAGCGATAAATAGTGAGAAATGCGTACAAACATATTTAATAAAACAAGTTCCACGCCCCAAACTAGATAGGCGCAAAAAGAAACTGGGAGCAGTTCACAACCTCGGTGGGGGAAAAAAACACCCACCACCGCCACCGCCGATCAGACACCCCTCCCGTAGCGCGGGGCAACGCACGAACGAATGCCGGCAGTGCGTGGGACGAAAAGCGCGACCGCGCGGCAACTCGTCCCGAAAACAAAACGGGGAGAAAGCAAGCGCCAGTCGCCACGCCACGCCCCCGCGACGCCCTCTGGTCGGCGCCAAGCCCTCGCTGCGCCGCGTCCGCCGCCCCTGCCGCCTCGCCCGGCTTCCCGCCAGTCATGGGGCCCCAGCCGTGTCCTCCGTGACGGCCAGCTCCTCGGCAACGCCATCCCAGGCAGTCGGCGCCGCGGTCTGCGGTGTCGCGGCGCTCGCTTCTGCAGGGCGCTCGCGCGCGTGCGGCGGCGGCGGCGGCAGCGGGCGCCCTTCCTCCCCCGCGGGCGGCCGTTGCAGCGGGGACGGCGACAGCGCAAGCGCCTCCAGCACCGACCTCGTGCTGCTGGCCGGCAGCCACGCACCACGCCGCCGAAGCTCCTCCGGCGCGAGCCGCAGCAACGCGCACGACTCCGATGATATTTGTCTCTCGGGTGTCGGCGGTTTTGTTATTGTAGTTTTGTTTTGGGTTGCTTTGAGCAATGGCGTGTTATTTTTCTTTGTTATTATTATTTATGTGTTTTGGACGAAGTTCTTGGCTAGTGTTGCTTTTTTTTGTTGCGTGTTTGGTGTTTTTTTTGTAAGTGGTGTAGGTCTCTGTTGTTCGTATTTTTTTAGTGTTGAAATTTGTTTCTATATCTGTTTCGTTGCCAGTGTTATTATTTTTTTTTTGGCGTTGTTGCTATCGCGTCTATGCTAACTGACAAAATGTGCTGTGCCCAGCTTTCTCATTTGTTTTGTAGCAACCTGGGTGAAGTCGCTTTCGTACGAATTTGAAATTTATTGTGGTTTTTTTATCCTTGTGACCACTAAGTAATAATTGTGGTTCGGTTTTCCCTGTCTGAACTCAATACAGAACAAAAACGTGCTACGCTGATTAAGTGAATAGGGGAGAAATTTGACTGTAGGCTCAGGGGAGTATTTTTTGTTATCGTGATAGGGCGATCGTATTATGTGTTGTAATATCGAAAAGGTGATGCTCTTTCTTCGTTTGTATCTATTGTCAATCATGAGAAGAGTTCGCGTTCAAGTGAAGCGCTTGGTTTGCGAGTAGTGTTGAACGTTACAGAAATCGTTCTCTATCATGGAACTTTTTTAGCGGAGTGGCAGCAGTGTCTATGGGATAACAGGGATTTAAGCGATTGCAAAAAGACTTACTACGTATTTTGAATTGTCCGTTTGTTGGACTCCTATATAATCCTTTTGTGAAAGTTGTGTTCTTTAATTCAAGAGCATAAATGAATTTTCTTGCCATTCCATGCTGTAGCACGGCTTCAGTGCTGACATTGTTGTTAAACAGGCAATCCATACAAAGTGGAGTGATAATTCTGTGAATACTTGCTATGCTCCTTGTGCATTCCCGTGCCAAAAAAAGACGCAATAGTTAATGAAGACCCAAAGAAGCCTTACTTTCTTTGTTGTTGTTTTGATTATGTTGCGGCATTTACTTCTTGATGTTGGGAGGTTTTCACTCCACACTTATCTTTTTTTTTTGGATGAGGTGCAGGAGGCTTAACAGGATCGACGGCGCACAAATATTTCATGAAGAGCTTTTTCCTTAGCAATGTTTGATTTTTTTGTTTGCGTTCTTGCACTCTTTATTCGTTTCAATACATTGCTGTTTGTTGTCTTTTGCTTTATTCTCGCATCATTTTACTCTCTCAGTTGTTAGCAGCCGATATAATTTGTAACGTAGGCATGTATTTTTTTTGATAGTTCCTACAAATTTTTCTATTTGAGGTCCTTTTACATAATAATATTTGCTTTTTTTTCGCATTCTTACTCCACGGGAGCAAGCATTTCTTGCGCCTTCATGGGTAGTCTGCAGAGTCACCTATCGATTTGCGAACAACATCTATAATAATAGGATGCAAAGCTGACAAGAACACTCTGCTCACATATTGTGCTTTATTGGCTTTCTCATTGTCAGGTGGTCCCAAAAAAGAAATGGTGTGTATTGGCTTCAGTAAACAAGCACAACAGCCCGTGTAATATATTAATGCAACTCTCACTTGCACAGGTCTCATCATTCCCAAAAAAGGATCAGCGAACACTATCATTTATTGTAGATCCCTACCTTTACCATAGAGGGAGGTGCATTTTTTGACATTAAACATCTCTGACTTTATGTGGGCCATAAATGACGCAAAATTGGGTGTTATAACAATTACCAAAGCTTTTACTTCATAAAAAAAAATAAATACTTTTTACCCCTCTGAAGTTAACAGGAAAAAAAGTGAACTTATACACACTTTCAAAAAGTGCCAACAGAACGCGGATTCTTTGGGGTGTACAACTCAGAAAATAATATAAGGCACCTGTACAGCTATTTTCCAATATTTAACTGAAGCCCAAAAGAAGATAGCTAACCTTTTGTGAATTGGGAAATTGCCCCATTTTTTGAAATAAAAATTTTCCCTTTTTACGGGTTGTACCGTGAATACACGACTCCCATTTTTACATACTCTGTCCAAAAAAAAACACACACATACACAACAACACAAAAAACTAAAATCCCATTAAGAACATTTTAAGAAATCAACCTCTTCACCATTAAATCTACAACGTATCTTTAGAAGCAACTATTCATAGAAACCAACATAATAAAACAAACAGCAAGAGCAACTCCAAATCAGGACAAGATGGCGGCCGACGCAAAGACTCTTTTCGGAAAGTACGCGCTAAGCAAGCTGAACGGAAAGGGCGCCGAAAAGGGCGAGTGGGATGTTCCCTCTCTGACGCTGGAGGCGGACGGAGATAAAGTGCGGGTTCATGCGAAGGTGGCCAACACAATGAACGGCACCCTGAGGTACGAAAACGGCAGACTTACTGGGATGCTCATGTCGACTATGATGATGGGGCCACCGTTCCATATGGACGTGGAGCGTGCCCTTGGCGCCGGATTCGAACAGGGGATGCGCGTCTCGCGCGAGGGTGATACGCTGACCCTCTCCCACGACAAGGACACCCTGGTGTTTGTCGTGGACAGCAGTGCCGCCGCGTAAGAGTGTGCGGTGTGCGGTGGTGGTGGGGATGTACGATAGTTTCTTTTATGTGCTTTGTATATAGCTCTGCTTTGTTTTGTTTTTCC